TTTTTTAAAATGCAATTCTAATGTAATTGCCTTACATATAAATTTAGACTTAAGTAAATACATTTTGCAAAAACACATTTTTATTCCCATAGCGGAAAAAAAAAAACACTTTGCAAGAGCAATGTCATGCAAGCCCAGAAATATATGATTTATTGCATCATATCATACCAAAAAAAAAAGCAGGCTCTTATCTCCTAACAAAAAGCCTGGAACACATGGAAAAGTTCCTAAGTATAACAACGAGGCAAGAAAGAAAGACATCAGACTAACATAATATAACGTTTTCTTTTGAATCAACATAAATTTGGTGCTATTTAAAACTGACTTTTCATGGCAACTAACCCCTATATTAACTTTAGTTACTCCAATGTGACCATATAAGAACATTCTCTGGGGTATTAAATAACTGAGGCCTCTCCAGCGTAGAGATCTAGGGCATGGGCTCTCTCTCAGCATTGTATTAACAGTACATTTTATAATCTTCTGGTTGATTTGGATCTGAATAAGAGAAACAAAAGTAATACTCTTATCTTTACTGTGATGTAAGAATAAAGCTGAGTAAAGCTTTTGTACGTTAAACCATTCTGAGCAATAGCTGAAAGAGCTATTGCTTGCACTTAGCAGGATGATTTTGCTACTGAAAGAAAGAAAGAAATTAAATACACGAGAATAAGGAAGCCCAGTTAGTGTGGATCAGTATGGTAGCAGACACTGCAACACTTGGAACATAATGGATCTCTATATCATGTTTCAAGCGTTGCAGTGTTTCCATCCATGCAAATATCTGGAACCTTGGTGGCATAATGGTTATGCATTGGTTTGTGATCTGCATGGTCAGCAGTTCAAAACCACCAGCAGCTCAGCAGGAGAAACACTGGGTTTTCTATTCCTGTAAACAGTTACCGTCTCAGAGAGCCACAGTGGGTCTCTCTGAATCAGCATTGACTCAATGGCAGCAAGTTTGGTATATATGTATGTACATCTACGTATCTAGATATATGGGTATATAGATATAAGTGTCTGCTTCCATACTGATACAGACATACACACACGAGGGGGTACCCCTCCCAAATTTTTTCTTTCAAAATTATATATTTAATTAAAAAAAGAAACAAAGCAACTTTTAAAGTACTCTCCATTACACTTAATACATTTATGAAATCTGCGATTTCATTCTGGGAAAGATTTTTCAAACTGGATGGCTGACAGCACCTCCCTTGTTTTTTTCCTCACCTCTTCTAAGTCATAGTCAAATTTTTGTTTTTTAATGTCCTCTTCATTTGCAGAAACAAAAA